TTTCTTATGCTTCAAATGCCTTCCTTCAGGTAGGGCCAGTCTCTTTTAAGAGCTCTCCTAATTTGAAAAGGTCTACCAGTTTAAACTCCCTTTGGATCAACTGACTCAAATGACTTGGGAGCTTAAACACATCTGCAAAATTCCTTCATCTTTGTCATATAATGCCAACTAATTTCGGGCATGACATATATCATATTCACAGGAGCAGGCATCCTGGGGACCATCTTAGCCTACCATAGGAGTATAGGCCTGAAATCAAGTTTTGTTGTGGACCAGCTGGCCAAACAAGGCCAAAAACTATAGAGTCAGTGTTCACAGAGTCAGAACTTCCAGAAAAGAGAACGCTATGAAATTGTCTTTGTTGTACCCACATTCATAGCAGCATTAATCACAATAGCCAAAAGGTGAAAACAACACACGTATCCATAGACAGATGAATGGATAAACAAAATGTGGTATACACATACAATGGAATATTATTCAGCCTTAAAAAGAAAGAAAATTCTGACATATGTTACAACATGCATGAACCTTGAAGATATTATGCTAAGTGAAATAAGCCAGTCACAAAAGGACAAATACTGTATGATTCCACTTATATGAGGTACCTAGAGTAGTCAAATTCATAGGCAGGAAGTACAATAGTGGTTTCCATGTTCTGGCGGAGAGGGGGAAATGGAGAGTTAATGCCGAATGGGTATGGAGTGTCAGTTCTGAAAGAAAAATAGCATCTGGAGACTGGTTGTACCACAGTGTGAATGTACTTAACACTACTGAACTGTACACTTAAAAATGGCTAAGATGGCAAATTTTTGCTATGCATACTTTACCACAATTAAAAATAGTAATAAAAATATTTTTGGCAATGAAACTATTTACAACTATTTTTCACCTCATTTAATAGATAGTATGGGTGTCTGCATTGTGACAGGCACCATCTGGTTATTGAAGGATGCAAATATTAATGTAACAGGCTCAAAATGATTACTGCATTAAAACTGAAGTTTATTTTTTTAATATATCAGAAATTGGCACAAAAACAATATTCAAATGAATTTTCCCCATTCCAATTGAAAGCATAGCTTACCTGCCCTAAATCCAAAGTGACGTTGACTTTGTTGTACCATAGGCCTGAGGAGAGAGGAGGGCTTTGCCACCAACGTTCAGATCCATCAACAGCATTGGTGACTGGATGTGCTTTCCTGGGGTCCTCAGAATTGCAATAGTCACAGAACTGCCCCTGGGGGAAAAAAGCTCTTTTTAATTTTTTGAGTAATTTTGTTATCAATTTAGTTAAAAGGGTAACCAAAACAAAGTCTGCTTCATGCAGCTTAGAGATGTCAGCTGGTCAAGTTAATTATAATGTATTCTGAAGAGAAGGCTTTTTCTTTTTTACTTAATTTTAAAACATATCACTTGTTTATACCTCTATTTATCATATTTCTGGGATATAGATTCTATTTAGCTTCCATTTTTTACAGCTATGTTTTTCTCATCCCAAATAACTCTTTAAGAAGAGCCTGTTGTACTTGGGATGCAAAAATGTTTTCCTTCAGCAAATCCTTTTTATTCTTTACATCCTACTTTGTGCAAGTTCTGTGTCAGGCACTGGGAAACATTCAACATTCCAAGTGGAAGCTTGAAGTACAGTAGTTCCCCCATTATCTGCAGAGGATACGTTCCAAGACCACCAGTGGATGCCTGAAACTGCACATAGTACCAAACCCTATACATATTATATTTTCCCCTCTACACACCTATGATAAAGTTTAATTTATAAATTAGGCACAGTAAGAGACTAACAATAATATCTAATAATAAACTAGAACAATTATACCAATATATTGTAAGAAAAGTTATGTGAATGTGTCACTCATTTCATGTTCAACAAGAAGTCTTCATACCAGCTCAATGCTTTCCGGTGAACATGTTGCCATCAATCAGAACACAGTGTTCATGTCTTCTGCCCACAAATTTAATACCTTTTCCATCTTAACTAAGTGCTTAACACACACTGTGACCATAACTTTTGCAGTTTGAGGTGCAACAACAAAACTAGCATGAATTTCTTTTTCCCTCTTCATAATTTCATAGATAGAAGATTCGTTCTTACCTTAAAGCTTAGCAATATCAGCATACAATTTTTATCTTTCTTTATTAAGTCAGGAACTTTCACCGTTTCACTTAAAGGAAATACTTTACAGCTTATTCGGTATATCTGAAATGCCAGCATCATTACTCTTGAAATTTGGTGCCATTGATAAATAAATAAGGGTTACTGGAACACAAGCACTGCGATACTGTGACAGTCAATCTGATAACCAAGATGGTGGCTACTAAGTGACTTAAGTTAATTCAGTACATAAGTGGGAATCAATTTTTACCTATGGTGAGTATCTGTTTGATATTATCATCTCTAACTTCTTACAGAATTACTCTTTTATGGCAGGCAGAATCTCTTGATTCTGTTTTGTTTGTTGTAATGCATACAGATTTTACAGACATTACAATCTAAAAAGCTGAATGTAGGCCTTTCTTTTTTTTTTTTTTTTTTAGGTGAGGCAATCCTTGGTGGACCTCGCAGATTACAAGGACCTTGTCAGTTTACAATCCCTTATTTTTTATTCTTTACTCCTACAGCACCTGGTCTTCCTAGGTGGTCTCCCATCCAAGTACTAACCAGGTCCAAACCTGCTTAGCTTCTGAGATCAGACGAGATTCGGCACATTCGGGATGATATGGCTGTAGACTGAACACAGGCCTTTCTTATATATTAACTGATATTTAACTGTATCAAAAGATCATGCTTATCCAATGGTGGACTTCACAAACTGAACTACTTTGCTCTCAAATTAAATTACCTTGGGGCATAACCACCACATAAGAGGTTGGGGAAAGAAGAAAACTTATGCCCCTAGCCTTCCCTGACAGCATTATAATTGCCCAAGTTAGTGTCAACACTGACATTTGGAAGGTTCGGATATAATAAATATGTAAGTTAAAGATGAATTCCTAGCAGTAAACTTTTCCCAAGTAAAAAATCAAGCCATGTTATTTGTTTCTGTTTGTTTCTACACATGTCATCAGGAAAAAAACTTTGATAGCAAAGACTATTTAAAAATAACTTTGTGAGTTGTATAGATGTCTAATCACTATGTTGTACACCTGAAACTAACATAATATTGTAAGCCAATTATAACTGAAAATAAAAAATATTATTAAAAAAACTAATCAAACCAACAATTCCAGAGTTAATGGTTTTTCTAGTTTGACTGTGTGTATTAGACAATTTTAGGCGATACCCTTTTTTGCCATATAAAATGAGCTCTAACAAAGATTCCACAAAATTAAGTTAAATAATAACAAATAAAAATATAACATATACTTTCTCCTTAAGAAAGGAAAAAAAGAAAATTTATTCTAAAAAATAATTATATGTTTAAAAACCAATTTACAAATTAATATTAGAAAATCTGGCTTCTTTAAGTAATCTTAAATGGTCAAGGTGAGAAATTTGTATCCAAAAAAATTCATTAAAATATTTCTTTTCTTTCATTTATTTTCTTCTTGAAGTTTCAGTGATTTTTAATCTATGTCTCAAAAGTCATATTTACTACAAATCGACTTATGTGAAAACTCAAAAAAAAAAAAAAATTCAGTAGTACCCTGAAGGAAATCAGACTATGGATTTAAAACTGAAAAAAGTCAGACGAATGAGTCTTTAAAATGTTTTAAAAAAAAACTCTACCCATCCTTCCAAATCATTTTTCCTGAGATCGTCATGGACGTTTAAGTCTATGTGGAAATGCGACCGGGATAAATACACTTGGGGTTGAGGAACTTTCTCAGGGAGGCCAAGGCTATGACAAATCTCTGAAGACAGGGCCTTGGCACTAAGAAGCAGGACTTTAAGATAAGATGACCTAATGCTGATTTTTTAAAAACACAATAACTGACAACAGTTTTCAAAATAAGGTTTGAGGAACAGAAGAGAAAGAGTCCATGGGCCTTCTCAGAAGGCAGATCATTGCAGGCAGTCCTTTCCTTCCCACGAGTATCACCGGCAGAGGCTAAATTCATCTTCCTACAGCCACATCTTCCAATAAACACACTAACTCTACCGCTCTGTGTGGAAACACAAAGAAAAGGGCTCATGTCTCTGTAAATCTCAGCCACTTCTGATTCAACTTGCTGTTTTCAACAAGAATTGAAAATGAAAACTGGGCAAAAGAATAAGAAGGAGCTTTAAAAGTAGGACAAAAAAACAGAGGTATGACATTTGGAATAAAAAAATAAAAACTAGTATCATTTCCAAGTGATAAAATTATTCACATTAAAACCCCAAATGAATCTACTGAAAAAAATTTAGAGCTACTAGGCAAGTTTAACAAGGTGGCTGAATATAAGATTAATGTACAGAAGTCACTGATTTCTGTTCAACAGCAACAAACAATGAGAAAATATAAATAAGGGAAAATGCCATTTACAATAATATCAGAGAACATGAAGTATCTCAAAACAAATTTAATAAAACTTTTTATACTTTATTATGGGAATTTTAAAAATCTAAATAAATAAATGGAGAGATATCATTTTCTTGGATAGGAAAATAATGTTGAAAACTTGTCAATTCTCTCCCAAATTGATCTATAAAGTCAATACAATTCCAATAAAAATTTCAATACGGATTCTCTTGGAACATAATAAGATAATTCTAAAATTTATATGGAACAGTAAAATACCAAAAAAATCTTAGATATTGCTGAAAAGGAGTCCAGGAGGAGGAAATTTGCCTTTCGAGGTAATGGGGCCTTTTATGAAGCTGTTTTAATTAAGACACAGCAAGATGAGACACACAGACCTATGAGAAAGAACAGAGAGGCCAAAAACAGACCCACACGCTTCGGAAACCTTAGTATATAACAAAAGTTATATATGATATGCGAGATCAGTAGGGAAAAAAAGGGTTAATCTATATAAAATGGAAAAGAATAAAATCGGATTCTTATTCAAATCACAAACAAATTATCAACCTCAAATAAATTATGAACTTAAATGTCAGAAATAAAACTTTAAAGTCTCTTCACAATACATAAGTGGCAGGTAGTCTCCAATGATGGCTACCATCATCAATTCTTTCTCTCTCTACTGTGTCTGCCACTTCAAGAGATGGAGGGTGTTTACCCTGGAGGCTATTCTCTCTCCTTGAATACAAACTGACTTTATTATTTGCTTCATTGTAGAAGAAGTAGCACTCTGAGATTTCCAAACAAAGGCCTTAAGAGGACTAGCAGAGTCTGCCTCCTTTTTCTTGGAAGCCAGCCTCTACATAGAAAGTCCAACTACCCTGAAATCACCATGCTATGAAAAAGCCCAAGGTAACCAAATGGAGAGGACACATGGCAGAGCACCGAGACATGTGACGTGTTAGTGAAGCCTTCTTGGACCATCCAGTTCATCCTAGCCAGCAGCTAAATGCAACTAAGTGAATTACCCCAATTGACAGAAACAGAAGAACCACTCAGCGGATCCCAGTCAATTCACAGAATTATTAGAAAAAAATAATTTGTCATTGTTTTAAACCACTAAATCTTGGTGTGGTTTATTATACACAAGAATCAATAACTAAACAAAGGGCCAAAAATCAACAAGGAATTCTCATCAGAAATATATCCCAAACTCCTACAAATCAATAAGGAAAATATAAACCATTTAACAGGAAAAAAAAAAAGGCAAAAGTGAGAATAGGCATTTTACAGAAGAGGAAACACATCAACAAACATTTGAAGAAATGTTCACAATCACTATCATTAATGATCAGGGTGCTATACTGTTTTATACCCATTCGACAGGACCAAATTTTTTTTTTGAATTACAGTTGACATTCAATTCTACTTTATAATAGTTTCTGGTGTACAGCATAATGATTATTTACATCCCCTTTACTATTTTGTAACCAACGATTTGTACTTAATCCTCCAACCTTTTTCACCCAGCTCCCAACCCCCCTCCTATCTGGCAATCATCAGTTTGTTCTCTATATTTGTAAGTCTGTTTCTGTTTTGTTTGTTTGCTTATTTTGTTCTTTAGATTCCACATATATATGAGATCATATGGTATTTTTCTTTCTCTGCTTGACTAATTTTACTTAACATAAAACCTTCCAGGTCCATCTATGTTGTTGCAAGTGGTAAGATTTCATTATTTTTAATGGCCGAGTAATATTCTATTGTATGTATG